TATATAAAATAGGTAAGCACCCAACTGGGAAATGTATATATTGTAACCAACTAGAAACGGTTGAACATGTTCTCCTTCAGTGTAGGAGATACACTATCAATAGGGAACGCCTCTTTCAGTCATTACGGAAGGCAAAACATCATGATATCTCATTGGCGGGTCTCTTGGGGAAAACAGCAGGCCAGATATATTGTCATATAATTAAGTTTCTCAAAGAAACTGAGTTAGGAAAAAGATTTTAATTTATGTTGTTTTTTTTTCTTTGTTTTTGGTTTTGTTTATTTCATTTATTTCCTGCCTAATCTCTCGTTCCACACTCCAGTCCAGCTTGTGGCGGTAATGCACCGTTAAACTGGTTTGCCAACCGCCATTAAACCCTAAAGAAGAAGAAGAAGAACTCCCTTCTCTGGACAGAAGGTTGCCGGTGGATTTTGGAGCGAAACGTTTGAACACATTCATACTGAGAAATGGTAGAATTCAGAAAAGAACAAACAAGACCCTGTTTTCTGGGCTCAGAAATGTGTGGGAATTGGCAGTTGGCATAAACTGGTTTGTGACTGGACTAGAATGGCGACTCAGGAAGTCGAAGAATATGGGGAAATGGATTTTGGTGACTGGACTCCAGTTGCTAACAGGAGAGCACAAGGAACGAGGGTAAATAGGAGAGGAGATGTAGGGTGGATTTTGAGTCATGGAAGTAAACGTAGTTTGGAAGAGAACAGTTCCAATGAAGGCAGTGGGTTTGTGCAGAAAAGGGCTGTGAGGGAGGAATTTAAAATCATCCTCAAGTTTAGAAAAGAAGACGAGCATGTGGGTTTAAGTCCGATAGCAGTATCTAGGGAATTAAAAAAGAATCTAGGAGATGTGGTAATGGCAAAGATTTTGAGAGACGGAAGCTTATTGATAACATGCAAAACGGAGGAACAGAAAAATAAAGCCTTGCAAGTCGAAAGTGTGTGCAAGAAAATTATTAGTGAGAGAAAGACTTTGGGTGAGAGTAGAGTTACAAGGGGAATGATAACAGGGATACCTGTAGAAGAACACTTGGACAAAGTCAAGCGCAGTATTAGTGGAGGCGAGGTGAGTAGAATTAAGAGACTGTTGAGAACAATAAATGGTAAAAGGGTTGAGAGCTTGTCGGTTCCTCTGGAGTTTCAGGAGTCCTTAATTCCAGAAAAGGTGAAAGTAGGATGCATGAGCTTTCCAGTTAGGCCCTATATTCCTCCACCACTACGCTGTTACAAATGCCAGAGGTATGGGCATATAGCAGCAGTTTGCAAAGGGAAGCAGAGATGTCCTAAATGCGGAGGTGAGCACAGAGTGGAAGAAAGAAAATGTCCAGGATAAATGTTGTAATTGTGGTGTCCAACACAGGGTAACATATGGTGGATGTGAAGTCAGGAAGAGGGCTGTGGAAATACAGCAGGTTAAAACAGTTAACAACATAAGCAGTGAAGAAAGGACAAAGAAGAAGGGTTGATACTGACAAAGTTATCCAGGTGTCGAGAATAGACGCAGGTCAAACAGAGAAAACAAATACAGAACTGTCAGTGGATAAGATTATTATGTTTGTGGCCTATTTGATCAATTGTACTGATCAAGTTAAACACAAAACCTAGAAAATTAAAATAATAGTTAAGGGAGCTGAGAAGTTTTTGGCCATAAAAGATGTATCTTGGGAGCAAATCAAAACAAGACTTGAAGCAGATGGGAAAGCGGGAGGCCCAGGTGATAAGACAAGCTGATTATTGTACAATGGAATGCAAGAAGATTAATAGCAAATGGTCAAGAGTTTAAGGGATTTATTAAAGATTTGAAAAATAAACCAGAAATCATATGCGTTCAAGAAACATGGCTTTAATCAAAATTAGAGTTTGTTATTAAAGGATATGTGTCACGATCCTGTCCTGAGTTTCTCTGAGTTTATTATTTTGTCGGTTCAGTATCAGTTATTTAGTCCGTTTTGGTTCCATGTCTTTGTTCCCAGTCCTGTGCCCTGGTTCATGTCGTAGTATTTGCTTCTAGTTCTCGTCTGCATTATTTTCGTCTGCTCTGTATTCTGTGTTCTCATCTAGGTTCTGTCTGTTATGATCCCTGTGTTATAGTTGGTCAGTGTTTCTTTGTTTACATGAGTTTCTGTTATGGTCTGAAGTTAGATTCTTGTCTGGTATTTTGGTTACATGTGTTCTGTCCTGTCTATTGCCCTGTGTCCAGCATCTGTCATAGTTAGTCGGTGTACCCCTGTGTTCTACCCATGTCTGCTATGAGTTCTGTTTTATCCCATCCTCAGTCTGTTTTCCCTGTTGGTGTTAGTTTGGTTGTGATCGGTCTGCTTGTGTCTGTTACCCCAGTGATCCCTCTGCATGTCAGTCTCTCTGTTTTCCCCTGCTCTGTCTGCCTGCCTGTCTCTTGTTAGTCTCATGTCTGTCACCTGTGTTGCTCCCGCCTGCTCGTTAGTCCCTGTATATATACCTGGTGTTTCTGTCTCGTCTTTGGTGGGTCATTACCTCCTGTTACCTTGTGCTTAGGCTCGTCTTGCTTGTTCTGGATTATTCTGTTGGATCACCTTTGTTTTCTTGGACTGTGTTATTTTGGATTCAGCCACTCCGTTTGCAAGTGAGCACGCCTTTTGTTTGTTTATTAAAACCCCTTGAACTATACCTGCACTATCCTTGTCCTGCATTTGGGTCCTGCCTCACCACCACACAACCCTGACAATATGATAGCATCCGTAGAGATAGAGGGGAGGGGAGTGGAGGAGGATGTATAATATATATAAAACAAGGAATGCAATATAGAGTTTTAGGGAAAGGAAAAGAGTTGGAATACTTAATAATTGAAATATGGACTAGAGAAGGAAATATCAAAGTTGTTAACTTTTATAATCCATGTAATAAATTGTCATTAGAGTTGCTGGAGGAACTGGTGATACAGTTAGTAGGTGATCTGCTGTGGGGATTTTAATGCCCATAGCACATTATGGGGTACTGCAGTGATACTAATGGGACGATGATTGAGGAGGTGATGGAGACGACAAATTTAGTGTGTTTAAATGATGGAAGTGGTACAGAAACAGCACTAGATCTTACATTAGTGTCAGATTCATTAGCAGGCATATGCACATGGGAAGTAGTTAAAGGAACGACTGTAGGAAGTGACCATTATCCCATTGTAATAGTAGTAGGTTTGAGTCTAGAGGAATATGAAACAGTAGGATTTCAGAAATGGTCATTCAGTAGTGCTGAATGGTATTATTAGTGATCAAGAAATTGGAAAAATTGATAGAAATAAAGATGCTGATCATTTAAATGTTTCATTTTGTAAAGTTGTTCTAGAGGCTGCAGAGAAGTCAATAAAGATAAAGGCAGGTAAGCACAAAAGTAAGATTGTACCATGGTGGACAAAGGAATGTGGAAGAGCGATAAAATCTCGAAATAAAGCTTTTAAAGCGTTAAAAATGAATCACTGTTTTCAGAATCTTATTGAACATAAAAAGTTACAAGCAAATGTAAGGAGAATCATAACAAGTGCAAAGAAAGAACATTGGAGGAAATTTTGTTGCTCAGTAGGAAGGGAGACAGATAAAGTTTGTGGGATGATAAAAAGAATGAATGGGGGGAAAAAAGAGAGTCTGAAGTCTTAAATGATAGACAAACAATAGCAGTGAGAGATGAGGAGAGATGCTGGCTAAAACTTTTGTAACAATTCACAGTTAAAATAATATTAGTGAAGAGGGAAAAAGAGGGAGGGAAACAACAGTAAGGGAGAGTGAAGAGTTACAACAAGAAGAAAATTCTGATGACCTACTAAACAGACCCTTTACAATGACAGAACTAATACGCACTCTCCAGAAAACCAAGATGTCAGCACCAGGAAACGATCAGATTTGTTATATAATGATAAACCAGCTCAAAATTCAAAGGATATATTACTGGAACTATATAATAAAGTATGGGAGGATGGGAAACTGCCACAGAGCTGGAAGGAGGCTGTGGTAGTGCCAATACGCAAACCGGGTAAAGATTGTACAAATCTGGGGAATTATAGACCAATAGCTTTAACATCCAACATATGCAAAACAATGGAGAAAATGATTGATTCGGAAGAGGGGAAGAAACCTGGAATTTATTGTAAAAAAAACTACAGGAGGCTATTATGGAAACAGAAGAGTGGTCATATAAATGGGGTTTTAAATTCTGAGTAGATAAAGACAATGTTTTTTACAAAGAAAAGAATTGGTAGTGAGGTAAACCTAAAGTAGTATCATCAAGAATTAGAAAGAGTGAAACACTTTAAGTTTTTGGGTTTATGGTTTGATGAGGGAATAACATGGGGTGTACATATCCAGAAAGTACTGGACAAATGTAGGAAGGGGTTAAATGTTCTGAGGTGTTTGGTGGGAAGTGATTGGGGGGCTGACAGAACAGCACTGAAGGCAATTTACTGTGGATTAATTAGATCAGTACTTGGATTATGGTTGTGTGGTGTATGGATCTGCATCAAGCACATCTCTAAAAATGTTAGACAACATTCAGTTTCAGGCTTTGAGATTATGTACAGGGGCATTTAAAACCACTTCATCAGCAGCACTGCAGGTTGGAATGGGAGAAATGCCACTAGAGAGAAGAAGAATCCAGCTATCTCTGAATTACTGGGTTAATTTAAAGGGCCATAGTGAAGATCATCCAGCACAAGGCACTTTAAAATCTTGTTGGGAAAAGGAAAGGAGAGAGAAAAGCTTTGGGTGGACAGTTATACAAAAAGCAACAGAGTTAGAATTAACTGATTTAAAAGTCAGTCCAACAGTACCACTGCCAGTAGTACCACCTTGGGTACTACTTAAAAGCTGCTGTGCAAGTGTCAGGAGGGGGCCCTTCTTGATTTGGGACTGCTAGCCTTGCTGCCTCCCAGCTGGGGCATTTTGTGTTAAGTTCTTGTGTTTTTGGTGTTCTTAATTTATTGTCTACTTATGTTAATAAATTCCCTTGATTTGGTTGTTTTAAAGGTGTTTATTTGTGTTGAGTTTGGGTCAGTGTTGGGGTGTTGTTCGTCCCATGTTGCCACCAAAGGGTGGGACGTAACAGAAATGCTAGCAATTCTATTAGCAGTGCAATGGATAGAGGAAATAAGACCAGAACAGTCACTCAGACAGCAGAGCAGACATTTTGATATAAATACTGCAAACATTATATAGAATCCAAATGATGGGCATTGCAGTCATATTTTTGTGGTTGCCAGCACATATTGGCATTAAAGGAAACAAAATGTCATATAAGGCTGAAGAGGAGGCCACAAAAAGAGAAGACATCGATGTGGCAGTCAACATCTGTAAGACAGAAATAAAGAACGTTATTAAACAGAGATTGAAGAAAAGGTGGCAAAAGCAATGGGAGGAAGAGAGGAAAGGATGGTGGTTTTACATAATTCAGAGGAGAGTGGGAGAAATGACATGTGCAGAAAGAAACAGGAGTGAAGAGACACTTATATCAAGACTTAGATTTGGGCACAGAGGATTAAACGGTACTTTATTCAAAATAGGTAAACATAACACCAGCAGATGTGAATACTGTGAGCAACAAGAGACAATCGAACATGTCATACACAACACTGTAAGAAGTATGCGAGAAAACGGAGGGAAATTATCCAAAATCTTAGAATGGAAAGAATACACTTTGATTTAATAGAAATTCTTAGAAAGAACTCAAGAAATAAGTGCTATGGAATTGTTTTTCATTATCTTAGATTAATCAATATGATTGAGAGGATCTGAGTCTTATTTTTGTTTTGTTTGGTATAAAATAATTGTAGTCATTCAGATACACACTCCATACCAGTTGGTGGCGGTAATGCACCATTTCGTTGCGTGCCAACCGCCAATAAAGTTCCATAAAGAAGAAGAAGACTCCCTTCTCTCGCTCTGCCATTCCCAACCTGAGCCTGTGTACTGTGTGTTATGTCTATTAGTCATGAGTAGAGAACGGTTGTGATTAGATGAGACTTGTAAGTGAATCTATGTAGTGGACACATTGAACTTTAAATAGTGTAGCGTTGTTGTTGTTGACAACAACCTTCTTCTTTTGTCCTTATGTCAGTTACTAGCAGTGTGTAAGAGTGAGAAGCCCTTTTTGTTCCCTGTTTTTGAGATTAGAGGCCTAGTTTAGAGCTTTGTCTTTTTTTTACTTTTTGTTTTTGTTTTAGGAAAGTTTTAGGTTTCTTAAGAGTGTTTTGGGCACTGCTCAACTCTGAAGCTAATAAAACTGCTAAATTGTATTTCATTTGTTCTGGCATTGCTTGGGAATGGGAAGAGTGGGAAGCCACACTTTTATGTTGCGTCCAGGATACCCCCAGACCTTGGGACGTAACAATTTATAGTTTAATTAGCTAAGTTAACTAAGTTATAGTTAGCCACCTGTAGTTAGCTAGCATAGGTATTGCAGAAAGTTAGCTGACAGAGGGTCTTCATTTTAGTTTTTAGTTTCCTCCTCTTGGTTTAGTGTGTTGTTCATTTTCATTATGGCAGTTGTGCGTGCAGTGTTGGAGGACAAATTACACTAAGGTGCAGCTCCCCGACCCTCCAAGATTCAGCTCTTTTTTATCTCATTCTTTGTTAAAAAAATCCAATACTAATAGGTAAAAATGACCTGCGGGCCCAGTTGGTTCGGAGACATGGCACCCTAAACCTCCTGCTTGAGAATAGCGGCTCATACTCGCCAAATAGGGGATGTGATACATCTCTAAAAATCGCCTGCCCCTTCCTCACCGACTGGTGATGCTAGTTTGCTGTACCCCTGCAATCTTACTGGACATATTAACTACCTTGTGCAGTTTATTTTTATTATTCACCGACAATGTGAAATTCCAGGCAATGTAACAAAAAGTTAGGATGCTTTCCACAAAGGAGCGATAGAAGAGGACCATTATTTCTCTGTCCACATTAAAAAGTCTTAGTTTACACATAATATATAGACGCTGCAACCCTGTCCTATAAATAACATCTGTATTAAAATTCCATGACAGTTTTGCATCGATTATTGTTCCTAAGTTTTTATAATCATCTACCATTTAAATACTCTCTCCATCCATAGTAAGTGGTTGGTGGGTGGTGTCACTTCTGAAGTCAAAAATGATTTCTTTCGTTTTCTTGGTGTTCAACAGAAGCCCTACACCCAACCCACTCCTGGTAGCTGGTCTCCTTTAATCAAACCAATGAGTGCTGTATTGTCAGCAAATTTAATAGTAACATGCTCAGGTGTGTTGCTTCTACATTCATTTGTATAAAGGGTAAATAAGACTGGGGAAATAGGGCTCCCTTGTGGAGCCCCTGTGTTAGTAATAATAGGAGAAGACACTGCCTTATTTACTCTGACACACTGTACTCGGTCAGTCAAAAAAGACTTACCCCTCTGACGATGTGGCCATTTACACCTAACTGCAGTAGTCTCTCCATCATAATATGGGGTCTGATAGTATTGAATGCAGATGAAAAGTCTACAAAAAGAACACGTACATATTGCTTGGTCAAGATGACAATAAATATTATGCAGCATAAATAACAAAGCATCCTCTGTACTCCTCTCCTTCCTATATGCAAATTGCAGTGGGTCCAATTTATGTTGCACTTCCTTCAGGACCTGGTTTAAGACAATCCTCTCAAGACTCTTCATTACAATTGATGCTAAAGCAACTGGTCGATAATCATTTAAGACAGACGGTCTTGACGTTTTTGGTACTGGCACTATGAGAGAAGTCTTCCATACCCTGGGAATCTGGTGTAAATCCAGGGACATTTGAAAAAGCTGTCTGAACACAGGACTAAGTTGTTCCCCACACTCCTTCAGAACCCTACCTCTGATCCCGTCCGCTCCAGCTGCCTTATGTGGATTGATCTTCTTAAAACTTTTACCCACCTCCTCTGCTGTTATAACCAAGGGCTGGCCATAGTCCAGATGTTGCCTAATCACATTACGTTCAGTGCAAAAATCAGATGCGTCAAATCTGGCATAGAATGTATTTAGATCATTTGCCAAAGTCATATCGTCTCTTTTCTTCTCCTCCTTCCCTATCATTGTGTACACTCCCTGCCATGCCTGCCTTAAATCATTTTCCCTCATCTTATATTTTTGTTTACAGTCGTTTGTATAACTTTCATTTGGGACACCTCCCCCTGCTCAAAAGTTTCAGTGCTTCTTTAAGTTCCCTATTTACCCATGGTTTATCATTTGGGAAAACTTTAATGTTTTTTTTTCTGGGATTATGCTGTCCACACAAAACTGTATATAATCTGTCACCACAGAGTTAAGTTCTTCCAGGTTCCTGCAAGTGTCAAACAAGGTAATCCAAGTTCCAAGTCAAAACACCCTTTAAGACTCTCCATCGACTCCTCCCCGCACTTCTTAATAACTTTTATCTCAGGCTTGCTAGATTTAAGCCTCGGCTTATAGTGGGGGACCAGGTGGACCATGTTGTGATCGGAGCTCCCAAGAGGTGGCATTGGATACTGTTGGTAATTTATACAATAAATGTGTTGATTTACAATATTTGTATAGCACACTGACACGTGTATGTAGTTACATTACTATATTTTTTAAAAGGAGAACATATATTTTTGACAATAACTACAATCACCTACCTTGTGGACATTTTTTGGCAAACCTTACATTGGAAAGTGTGTTCCTCTTGAAAACACGTTTAAAATTCAGATCAGATTTATCTTTCTAACATTCCTTTTAGTGATCCCATGGTACCGGGGTTAATTGATCTTCATGACTAATGTAATCTTTATGACTTCAGATAGAACAGACAATCAATGATTGTCATGTATTAATTTAATAAATCTCCAGTAAACTCAGAAAACAGCATGTTAAGTGGTTTGTGCCTGCGTACTGTCTTACAACACTCTACAACACGGTTTATTGTGCTGTGTGGAGATGATGCTGCAGTCGGTCAGAAAAAGGAGTACGAATGTTTGGTTTCCCAGCTGACATGGAGAGGAGGAAAAAAGGTTGACTCAGGTCAACAGGAGCAACTTTACCATCAATAAAGAAGCTAACAACATAAAAATATATGAGGTACACATCACTGGCTTAATGTTTGGTTTATTAAAAACATCACTGAAGATCATCTTCAGGCTCCACTGAACCCCCTGTGATTCTTGTGCTGAGAGAGGGAGAACAAGAGAGAGAGAAAGGGTTAGACAAACCTACACATCTGTAAAGATTTATCCAGGTCATGGTTATCCAAGAAAAGGTGAATCGGGAGCATCTGGACGTTTCAGTCCAGTTGCTCTCAATTCAACCTTTCTTGTAAACAGCTACAGGTTTGATTGAGAAGTTATGGATTGTTAAATTTTGGAACTTTATTAACAGCTTTTGCTGCTGATGTTGCAGTCACTAGATAGTTTGTTAGTTAGTGAATGTTTTTATTTTTTCAAACAGTTCTCACATACAGGAACTCTGACGATGATGTGATATGAATTTGTACAAAGTAATTATGTAATTAGAGTAAACATATCCAGTAAGAATTGAGTGTTCACCAATATGGTGCATTCAGCCACTATGATGCATTAATGTAGGTAAATAAACCTGAATTGTTGCATGGAAAATAAAGAAAATGATAAAACATTTTAAGTAGGATATATAAATGGTATATTATAATAGGCATTTACAATCGTGTTGTTTTCTATCTCACCATGGTCCACTCAGTACTCTTTAGCATCACTGCCCCTCCACCTCGCAGAGTCTACTGCTCTAATATAATTAATGAAGATTGTTTTTATAATATGCTAGTATACTACTTTTAGGGTTAGGGATAACCCCCCCCCACCAAATAAATAAATAACGTTTTGCTGTTCTGCACTTTGTCACAGTGTCCTCCCTTGCTGCTTTGTAACCTAATTAGCAATAAATCCGTTTTGGATTTGTGATTTTCTGAACAGTGTGGCTCAGTGATGTCTTTTAATAGTTTTTGGACAACAATGGAGCTCTATAGCACAAAGGAATACAATATATCAGACTTAGTACACACACACACACACACACACACACACATACAATATCTTTTACTAGATCAATTCATTGTTGGTTTCGGACTGCACATTTGATTTTTTGATGAGACAAAAAGATAGAATATGACTGAATGCGGCTGGGATTAAAAGACCACAGACATCTGATGGGCCCATTCAACAGTAATACAAAACACACAAACACAATGAGATTAAATGATTGATTTCATTTAAATCAGGAGCCAACACACAGAAACATCAATAATACTGATCCCGGTAAAGCAGTACCACTGACGTGAAGTGGGAGAATCCCTCTGCTGGATGAATATAATGCAGCAATGTGTGTTTCAGTGCTGCAGGGCAGGGAGAATGGTTCCCATGCAGGGTCCGAAGCCCACCCTGTATCCATCTGCTTGACAATAACCTAGACAGAGGAAGAGATGGGACTTCAATTGGTAAGTATTTTGGGGCATTGATTGTTTTTATCATGAGTCAACAATAGAGAGATGGCAACACAATAAGGGTACAGAGATGGGGAATGACATGCAACAAATAGGGGTATTGCACCGAGCTATCCGCAAAACTGCCTTGAATTGTCGAGCTAGCACATGCATGTGTTTTTCCACTGCACCACACAGTTTGTCCTAGTCACAACCTTGATACAAAGCAGTATCACAGCACCATGGCTATCCCCAGGTGTGATGCTCTAGTGGAAACGCATGTCATTACATCTCGGTTTGGCATGGCAAGGGGTTGCTAAAAGCGGACCACCCCGGGCTCACGGAAAAACCCCAATAAGTCCCCAGTCAGATTTAAAACAGGGTCAGAACATAAAAAAACATATTGTCTTCACCCGCAATCCTTTAAAATTTTTAATGTAACGCAGTAATGTTTACTCAGAATACATTTTAACTAACTACTTACTTTTATCTCAGTGCATTTTTACTTTGACTTGAGTAAGATTTCTCTAAAGTAACTGCTTTTATTTGAGCAAAATATTCTTTTACTCTTTCCATCCCTGCTGTTACTACATCATTTTACCTGTGATGGTGACTTCATCTCCGTCCTCCAGGAAGGTTCTGGTTTCTCCTCCTCCCAGATTGATGCTCTTAGACCCCCTCCACGACAGCTCCAGCATGGAACCAAAACTCTCTGGATCCTGTTGAGATATATAGATTATGTGCTGGCAATAATACATTATCTAAATTGATGCTGAGAAGATTAAAGCCCCTATGGGTATATATTTTATAGGATCACATTGAATTCCTTGAATTAATCAGATGGCATAAGAAAAACAAAAACGGAAAACAGAGGCTACAAAGAGCTTTACAAGACAAAGAAAAAGGAAAGAGTAGTTAAAAGAGAAACACTATACAAAATAAACTAGGGATCCACAGTTTTTATTCAGTGGGGCTTTAATTCATACTAAATATTCATCATTCAACACTGTAAGCATGAAATGTCAGGTATGACTTAACCATAACGCCTCAGGGCAGTCTTGTACCATGTCCAATAGAATATGTGTTCACATACACAGATACACAATTAAAAAACAAATCCGTCTTAATTAGCATTTATCAAGTACTGAGCAAACCGTACGCGCAGACACTCACAGGGCCACTGATAGTACCAGAAGCCAGCAGGTCTCCTGGTCTGACATTGCAGCCGTTGACTGTATGATGGATGAGTTGCTGCTTCATGGTCCAGTACATGTACTAGACAGAGAGATTGAGATAAAGATGAAATAATTTAAGTGATGAGAGACAAAAGTTGACCAAAAAAAAAGATAAAACAGGTACAGCCCCAATTTCACAACCTACCCAGTCCTCAACTTAGGGACTGTAGGAAAGTTAGAGTGGCAAGAAACATTCAAATTTTTCTTTGAACCCATGTGAGCAGCCATTTGCAGAGCCGGGGTCAGAGAGGAGCAGAGCATTCAAACTAAAATGCACTTTTGTGCTGCTTACATATTGGGGTGGAATGGTGGAAATGTTTTTATTAATGAAACCCATTTCAATATGCATTCTCCTGTAGCCTTTTCTCATTTCATATCATCCCTGCTGATTGAACACACATGGAGGCATGATTTAGTCTTCCCTTTTTTGTGTCTTTTGTTTGGGGAAGTAAATTTCACAAAAACAAAGGGTATCACTGGGAGTGATGTTGTCAGATACCGTGTGATCCTGTCGATGGCAAAGAGAAGCATCTTGTGAACGTTGTTTGATGGGTGTAAATGTCACAAAGGAATATGTTGCAGCCGGTTCATGGCTGAAGCCAAACGACACGCATTCCAACAAAAAATGTTTGTATCTACTAGTCATAAAATAATTGAAAATAGTGCCCAGGTTTAAAGATACAGAAAGTATCCTTTAATTTCATAGACCGAAAAAGTGGATCACATCACTCCAGTTTTAAGGTCTTTACACTAGCTTCCTGTCTGTCTAAGAATTTATTTCAAAATACTCCTGTTGATTTATAAAGCACTAAATGCTTTAGGGTCAGAATACATTTCTGATCTTCTTCTTCGTTATGAACCATCCAGAACTCAAACTATGCTCCATATATCTGGAACAAACTCCCAGAAAACTGCAGGTCTGCTGAAACTGTCATTTCTTTTAAATCAAGACTGAAGTCATTTCTGTTTACCACTGCCTTTCATTAAATCAAATTTAAGGCTATTTATTAATAACCTACACTGCATTGTAACTTTTACTGTCCTGTATTTCACCCTTTTAAAAACTGTATTTCAATGTTTTTGTTTATTTCCCTATAATGCTTTTATGTTTTATCTAAAGCTATTTGAATTGACTTGTTGTGCTAAACAAATAAACGTGCCTTGCCTAATAATGAATATAATCATTAGTTGCAGCCATACTGTTATATTTCAATACTACAAACAACTCCCTTTGCTTAGTGCCTCCAAAATGTC